ATTTTTCTTGTGGATTAAAATTACCAGGAAAAATTACTTATGAAATTCTTCTACCATTTATTATAATACCAATGAATATTATCTGCGAATTTATTTTTGCAAGAAATAAGAGAAAGTTCTTACCGCATTTTCTATGAATTTTTATCATGAATTTTTTTATGATCATCAAAATTGTAGAAAAATTTGCAAAAATTTCTTATAGATTATTCTTCATAAAAAAATTTGTAGCAAATTTCTGTAAATTATTTTTTGCAAATAAATTTGCAAAAAATTTCAGTGAATTTATTATTGCAAAAAAAAAATTGCAAAACAATTCTTGAGAATATTTTTTTTTGGAAAACTTCGTAGGAAAATAGTAATGAGTCAAAATATGATATAATAATATAAGATAATTATTTTATCATATTATAATTTATTATTTATTGTGTTAATGGGACATTATTTTATCTCAAATTTAAATTTAAATCAAAACCTATTTTTTTAGGTGTTTAAACAACAATCAATAATAAATAAACAGAAATATAAAAAATACGAGATTAAAGTATTTAAATATAGTTAAAATTTAAAATTAAAGTAGTATAACATTTAAAACTAAGGTAACCTTTATGCATTTTTTTTCTTCTCAATTTGTATGTCAATATGCAAACAATATATTATATGAAAATAAATATTAGAAGGACTAATTTAGTCTCTACCATTAATTTATTTATAGTGTCACTTTGGTGTGAATAACGTGGGCTTATTAAATATGTGTAAAGATAATGTATTTGGATTTTTGGATAATAATGTGTCATTTAATGTTTATTATGTAATCAGCAACAATTTGATTGTTCATCTAGATCACATTCAATCATAATAAATATTGATTGTCCATAAAACCATTTAAATTCTTCATTTTTCCCTCCTAAACCATTAAGTGACATATTATCATCTACAAAATCAAATACATTACTATCACGTGAATTTAATTAGTTCACACCACTTACACAAAAACAAAGTTGTAAAGAAATTTATAGAAAAAATTAAAGATAATTAAAAAAATAAATAAATATAGGTATAAAAATATCTATTTTAAACTATATGAACTAAAAGATAAAGTTAATAAAATTATAGAGATTAAAAAAGTATTTTAATTTTATAATAATACTAATAATAATTTTAATTTTAATTGATTCTATTGTTGGATCATCAAATTTATAAAATGTAAATCCGTGATTCAAACCAATTTAAGATTCGCATTTGATTTGATATAAAAAAACAACTAACCTAATTAATTTAATTTAATTTGTATCATCAATTTTATAGGATTGTTAACACTCATAACCCCAACTCATATATAACTAAAAGTTAAATTTATTTGTGCATTCTTATGCAAAATAAATGATACTTGTAGGATTTGGATTTGGTAACACAACCAAATTACTAATTGTCAAAACAGTATCACACACAAGAAACACTTGAATGCCAAAATGATATTAAACATAGATGGGTTTTAGGGTGAGAGCCTTTGATGAGTCTCCCACCGTGAGAAAGAAAACACAACAGTTAGATATATTATATTTTTAATCAAAGATCCAACATATTTTTTTTTATTTCTTTTTTTCTTTTATCTATCTTTTCCTTTTTTTTTCTTTTTTTTTTACCAATTTGCTATTCTATCCTCACTTCTCCCCCAAATCTCTTGCAACTCCGTGACTTGCCAAATCTTTTGATCAGGTTAGTATTAGTAATATCGAAATTGTACTGGGAATACACCACCCGATCAAAACCAATACCGAACACACCCCTTTGGCCTTGGAAAAGACCGAGAAGTACCCAAAACGCAAAACATACCCGAATACCCCCTCAGGCCGAACACCCCTCAGGCTAATGAATAGGTCGAGTGCCCCCTAAGGCCAATGAATAGGCCGAGTACCCCTTCAGGCCGAATACCTCTCAAGCTAATGAATAAGCTGAGTACCCCCTCAGGCCGAACACCTCTTAGGTCAATGAATAGACCGAGTACCCCCTCAGGCCGAACACCCCTCAGGCCAATGAATAGGCCAAACACCCCTTCGGCCAATGAACAGGCCGAGCACCCCCTCAACCAATGAACATGCCGAATACCCCTTTAGCCGAAGAATATACCGAATGGGTATTCGACTATAACAAATATCCATGAGGTAAAGTAAAGCAAGTTTTAATTACATTAAACACATCCATGTCAGCTATAATCAGTGTGCAAAACCTTGTGCACCAGCCTAATAATCCAAAAAGCTGACCAGGCCCAAGAACGTCACTATAAATATGTTATTGATGGGACTGATGGGACATATATGATTATTTAATACAATAACCTTTATTTCTCTGTACCGAATACTCACTTGAGCATCGGAATGCCATTGCAGGTACCCTCCCCACCACTCGAAGACAGGACTCAGTCAGCACTTGAAACTTAAGAGACTAGTCAAGAGGATGGAAAGAAGGAGTGTTCTTAGCAGGAACAGAAATTATTATATTTTATAATATTATATAAATAATAACTACATTTTGTTAGGTTACACATAGAAAGGAATGATTTTAATAACTTAAAGGTGTCACAATATCTTGTTAGCCATCAAAACAACTACACTTAAATTCATATAATTAAAAATCATAAAACAATAATAAAAAAATCAAAGTCAAAATGAAGATTATTGAAGGGTTGCAAGTTGCAACATGTTGGAACGGAAGCATCCCATTCTGTATGAAAAGGTTTTACTATGCATCAATTCTTACTCCAAATTCTTCTTTGCCTCTTGTCCTATATCCTTCTCATTGTGCATTCAACACGAAACAAAATCCAAAATTTGAAACTAAAAAATGCATAGAACAATGAGAGAAAAAGGAACCTACAAAAACAACTGAGTAACACTTAACAAATTTTGATTAATATCGGAAGCATTCAACAAATTTTGATTTTGTATCACAACTTTTTTTTTTTATTTTTTTTTATTTTTTTATAAATAGAGACCTCATTAATAAAATTAGATTATACTCATTTGATAAAAATATAATTTTAAAAAATACAAATACAAAATAACATTTTGTATCCTTTTCCAATAATTGAGAAATACTCAACAAATTTTGATTAATACCAGAAATGTATAAAATATCATATATTAATTTTGAACCTAAATGACTTTTATAAAAGCAATTGTTCTTTTGCCTTTTACCTCAAGGTATGATCCATTCCCCATTTGAACTTTAGAGATATCAGTTTGTTGATTTATTGGTCATAAAGCATGATATTGAGAGTAGTTGTTCTTCCTACTTTTCTTGTTGATTTTCAACAATATTGATTTCTTCTAATTGTTCGTGAGATTTGCATATATTTTTCATGTGTCATAAATGCCCACACATGTAACATTTTGCGTCAGACCTCCGCTAAGATCTCTGTTGTGGATGATTAGTCTTTTTATAATAAGAACATGATGAAAAATTAAGTGTTATTATTTTGGTCGTTTTCTTGGAATAATTCCTTATTCTTGCTTTTTCCACCATTGTTGTTCTTCTATTTGACTAAATATACAATTCTTTTTTGTTTCATAAACCTCCTTTATTCTAATGCTTGCAATGCATGTAATACCTCTACCAATGTCATCTTATTAAGATCTTTTATGTTCTCCAAGGATGTTATTAAAGCTTCGTATCTTTTAGGTATAGTTACTATAAGTTTTTCAACAATTCTATAATCAAGAAATTGTATTTCTAGTAATTGTACCTTATGAGTAATGCTAAACAATTTGTTTGAGTATTGTTTGATTCTCTCAGACTCCTTCATTCTTTCTAACATATTCTTCCTTCATATAATCCCAAAATTCTTTTAATAGAAATTTGATAGTCATGATTTTGGTGAAAACATTTTGTGAGACATAGGCAAAGAGAAAACTATTTGCCTTTGCCTTCTTGATGTTCCTCTCTTTGTAAATTTTCATTTGGATTATAGGGAATTGTTTGACAATGCAAAAACATCACCATTTTCTTCCTTGGCTCTCCAGAGATTTAAAGTTTCTACATATGTCTTTATTCTCACTGCCTAAAGATTATAGTTTGCCTCATCAAAGATAATAAGAGGGAAAATTTGTAAAAAGTTTGTTTTGACTTCCATATCTATAATTGGTAAGAACCTTTTCTAGATACTAATGATGAATTATTTTGTATTTGTATTTTGTAAAGCTATATTTTTCACAAAGGAGCATAATTTAATTTTATTCATGAGATCTCTATTTATAGGAAAAAGTTATGATACAAAATCAAATATTGATAGTATCTTATTCTAAAAGCAAGAAAATTTGTACTCTTACCTACTTTAAATTTCTAAAAACAATTTTTTTAAAAAATTGACTCAATATTTATATAATTATTACTCTATTTAAAATTATGTCAAATAAAATTTAATTAATATAATTTTATAATTATTATTTTATACTAAAATTCTTACTCTTTTAATATTTTTATTTTTTAAAAAATATTTTATTAATTTTTTTAAACAGATACAAGTATAATACACAAATTTCATAAACATCATGTATGAAGATAAATATAAAACCAGATTAGTGAGAACTAAGAACTAAGAGCATCTAGAATGGGAGTTGCTTATATGCAACTCCCAACCACTTTAAATGGGTCCCACTGTGCCACGTCACTCATAAGCAATTCATACTATATTTTTACAATTTTTGCTTCAATGGAAATTGCTTATAAGCACCCCTACTTTTTTACAACTCATACTACACTTTTTGACACCTCACACTACACTTTATGATAATTTTTTATAAAATTAATTATTATGGACAAAATTTCAACGTCTTTTTTTTTGTTTTTCGGAAGTTTCACTCTCTCTTCCTTCACTTTCTCTTCTCTCACTTTTTCTTCTCTCACTCTACGTCTCATTCTCTCTTCTCTCACTTTCTCTTCCCCTCTCTCTCACCATGGCCACCCGGAATGGAGGTCTGGGCGCGCGGGGGGGGTGTCTAGTCATGGAAGCGCGCGTGGGGGGGAGGGTATCTGGTCACGGTGGTGTGCGCGCCAGTGGGGGTCCAGCCAAGGAGGCGCGCGCGGGGAGGTGGTTTTGGCCATGGAGGCACGCGCGCGTGAGGGGGTGGGGTCTAGTCGTGGAGGCTTGTGCGTGCAGGGTGGTCCGGCCGCGGAGGAGTGTGCAGGGAGGGGGTTCCGGCCGTAGAGGCACGCCTGCGAGGGGGTTGGCTGTTGAGGCTTATGCGCGAGGGTGGTTCAGTCGCAGAGGCGCTCACGCGGGTGGGGGGCTGTCTGGCTATGGAGGCTTGCGCGCAGGGGTGGTCCAGACGCGAAGGTGCGCGTGGGGAGGGGGTTTCTGGTTGTGGAGGCGACACGTGGGGGGTTTGGTTGCGGCGCGGGGGAGGGGGTCCGGTCGCGTAGTCGTGCGCGCGGGTGAGAAACAGAGTTTTTTATTTTTACTTTTTATGAATATGTTGTTTCCCCCTTGGATCTGGAAAAACCAATCAAAACTCTTCATTTTTACATTTCATAGTGTTAAGCTCCCTCCCTTCTACAAGCAACTCTGCCAAAAATTTTGGATCTTCTCTTGCCAGGTAGGATAACTCCATTGGGAGTTTCTTGTAAGCACCGATTCTTATTTTTAAGCTACACTATAAGAGCATCTACAATGGGAATTGCGTATAAGCAACTCCCAACCACTTTAAATGGGTCCTACTGTGTCACGTCATTCATAAGCAACTCATACTATAATTTTACAATTTTTGCTTCAATGAAAATTGCTTATAAGCACCCCTACTTTTTTACAACTCATACTACACTTTTTGACACCTCACACTACATTTTATGATAATTTTTTAACATCAACGTCTCTTTTTATTTTTCATTCAAGTCTCACTTTTCTCACATCTCTCACGTTTCTTTCTCTTTCTCTTGTCTCTCACATCTCTCACGTATCTTTCTCTTTCTCTTCACTCTCTCTTTCTCTCAAAGTTTCACCATGAGTGACCCTGGAGATGGTTGAGGTTTGGTCAGCCGAAGTTCAGTGCAAAGGGGGTCTGGTCGGGGGAGATGCGGGCGACTGAAGGGTCTCGATGGACGTGCACGTGCTGGTGGTGGTTTGGACGGCGAAGCCGCGCGCCAGTGGGGGTTTGGTCGGTGGAGACGCGCACGTGCTAGAGGAGGTCTCGACGGAGACGCGCGTGCGACGGAAGGGGTCTGGTCAGTGGTGTCGCTCACGCTAGAAAGGGTCTGGTCGGCAGAGCCGCGCGCGTCAATGGGGGTCTAGTGGGCCTGGGATGCGCGCGCGACTAAGTGGGTCTGGTCGGCCATAGATGCATGACTGAGGAGATCTTCTCGGAGATGCGCGCGAAAGATGACCATGTAGACGCGCGACAGAGGTTCCCGGAGATGCTCGCGACGCAGACAGTTATCGCCACCACCATCGTGTGCCCGGTCGACTTCGCGCGGCCGGCGTCGAAAACCCTCCGCCTGGACGTGCGTTGGCGACTGAGAACATGGCCACCAGAGGGAGAACTAGGTGAAGGAAGATTTATCTATTTTTCTGGTTTCCAAAACCTTTGTCCATGTTCCACCTTGGATCAACGTCAACCAATTGAACCTCTCTAATTCAAATTTCTGAGTGCTAAGCACCGTTGCTTCTCCAAGCAATAGAGCTAAAAATTTAAGAAATTGTCTTGCCACGTAGGATCACTCTAATGGGAGTTTTTTGTAAGCATTGTTGCTTATTCTTAAGATACACAATAAGTATCCCCATTGGTAGTGCTCTTAGAGCACCTCCAATGGAGAGAGAGAGGGGAAGAGAAAGTGAGAGAAGAGAGAATGAGACGTAGAGTGAGAGAAGAGAAAGTGAAAGAAGAGAGAGTGAAACTTGAGTGAAACTTCCGAAAAACAAAAAAAGAGACGTTGAAAATTTATCCATAATAATTAATTTTATAAAAAATTATCATAAAGTGTAGTGTGAGGTATCAAAAAGTGTAGTATGGGTTGTAAAAAAATAGGGGTGTTTATAAGCAATTTCCATTGGAGCAAATATTGATTGGGAGTTGCTCTAAGAACCATACATGAAATTACAAAATAGCATAAAAAGTTAAAAATCAAAATAAAAGTGCGTTTGCCGGGAGTCGAACCCGGGTCTATTGCTTGGAAGGCAATTATCCTAACCGTTGGACTACAAACGCGAGCTCTTAACTCAATTTATACGTTATTATAGTTATAAATAAAAATTAACGTTTTTGTTCTAATTCTGCTAAAATATAAAGATGCACTTACTTGCGTTCAAACATGTGATTGTGTTGTGATGCTAAGGTTGCATTTGGTAAATGGTGAGGAACAGGATGAAAGATTTAAAAAAAAATGGTGTATCTTAGTTCTCATTAAAAGGATGAAATCAAAGAGAACAAAACATATTAAACTATTCTTATGTCAAATGTTACTTAAATTTTCTTAATTCTTATGTAATTATTTGACTTCATCTTATATATCTACATATTATTAAAAGAGTTAATCATCTATACACTACTAGTGTAAAGTTTTTTTACACTGACAACCAATTATATTTTGAGAAATTCTATGGTACCCACTATAATTATGGGGTACCGGAACAGTCGTTTTATTTTTATTTTTATTTTTGTAATTACTTGTTTTATTTTTATTTTAATTTAATATTTTTAATAATTTATCCATATCTTTATATTATTTTTATATTTTTTAATTTATATCTTAATATAGCATTTATTAAAAAGTTTAATATTAATATTTTGTTAATATGTTTTAGTTTTTCTTTGATGATATGTTTTAGTTTTTCTTTGATGATAACTTTTTTAAATTTATAGTATAAATTAGTTTTTCAGTTATATTATTTATTTTTTTATTTTAATGTTTTTATAATATTATTATAATTTTTTGTTTTTAATTTTTTAATTTGGTCACATATAGATAAAATTTGTTATGAAAATTGACCTTTTGATTATTTTGTTTTGAATTAGTCTTTTTAATTGATTTATTTTATACAATTTTTTAATTTAAAATTTATGTTATTTTAAATTTATTTTTTAAAATTTATTTGTTCACATAATGTGATATACCAAAATCCTTCAGTTTTCATGGTTACCGTAACAGTTCCCTTATATTTTTTGAATTGTGTCATGTCACTGTTAAAAGTAAATGTGTTTACAGTGACATAACACAATTAAATGATACAATTGGTTGTCAGTGTAAAAAAACTTTACACTGGTAATTTATAGGTGATTAACTCTTATTAAAATTAGAATATAGTTTTTTAAACTTTTTTTCACTCAAAATTTAATATTTTAGGTCAATTTTTTAAAAACTTTTCAGGATTTTAAAAGTGTAACGTTTCCTATTAATTATAAAACAAATTTCTTAGTAATTAATAAATTAAAAATAAAATAATCTCTTACAAATTTTTCTCAAATTATAGACCTATTTCTTTTTAAAATATTTTAGACTTTTAAAATTCAAATGCTTCCTATCTATATATCTATACGTATATCTACACTGGAATAGTCTCTTAAAAAATTTTCTCACTCAAAATTAGATAGTTTGGACCTACTTTTTTTTTTTTTTTTATCTAAAACTTTTCAATTTTTTAAAATTCAAACGCTTTCTATTTATATCTATATATCTATATTAAAGTTAGAATAGTGCTGAAAAAATTTCCACTCAAAATTAAATAGATTGATTTTTTTCTCTCAAAATTAAATAATCTTGGCCCATTTTTTTTCCAAAAATTTTCAAATCTTTAAAATTCGTATACTTCCTACCTATATGGCTATATCTATATATTATTATCTATGAATAATCTCTTAGAATTACAATATTATTGTAGGTCACAATTAAATAACACATTTAATACTATTATGCTGTAAAAAAATATTGGCTATACACATTATTTGTTTTTATTTTCATATATGATATAATGAATTACTTTTTCTCTCACTCTTTTATTTCTTCTTCTCTTACATTTCTTTAATGACAACAGATAGGGATGGCAAAAATACCCGCACTCGCGGGTATCTGTGGATAAAACCCGCTACGGATAATAAATGGATAGGCTAATTGGGTACCCGCAAATAATGGGGACGGATAATTTTTTACCCGTTTATAAATGGGGCAGGGGCGGGTATGATGATATCCATACCCGCGGGTACCCGTTTAATATTATTTCTTAAATATCCTAATTATCCTTGTACCACATAACCCTAAAACTACACTCTCTCATCTTATTTTCTTACAAAAGTGAGGTTGATGAAGTTACCGACATGTGTTAAGCATGTTATAAAATTATGTTGGATGTAATTTGATTAATTTTCTAGCTTTGATTGGACCAATAAGATTTATGTATTTTAAGTTGTTTACTTTCATTTGGAATTATGAGATTGAATTATTGTAGCTTTGTGATGAGACTTTAACTTACTTGTGAGATTGATGTATTTTAAGTTATTGATTATCTTGAATTTTTATTATTATTTCAACAAAATTAACGTTAAATAAAAGTTCAAAATTAACATTGAATTTTTATTTTTAATATTTCAATGACATTAAAATATAAACTTAAAATTATTTGTAATATAATTTTTTTAATTTCTTAAAAATTTTATACATATCCATGGATATCCGTGGATATTCGTGGGTATTCAAGAAATTCATGGATATCCGCTTAATGGATATCCGCGCGGATATGGGGTGAGTATGGGGCCAATTTTCATTCAGCGGGGTGGGGGGGTTTACTATTACTCACCCCATGGGCGCCCATTGTCATCCCTAACAACAGATAATTACTAAAAATCCTTTACAAAATTTTCTTCTTAGTCACTCTTGCCACTCCCTTTTAGATTCATCTTTCCTATCACATATTTATTGACTAGTTAAATTTTTTTCTTCATCATTCGTGTACACTTTATTGGCATACCTTAATTCACATTGCTAATTAATATTTATACATTTTACTATTTTTTTTCCTTTACAATTTTCTTACAATTGGAAATTTGGACAAAACTTCATCCAAACAAATTGAACAAATATATTCATTTATCTTTTTTATATCTTTCTACCAACATTTTAATGAGTTAATTTAGATAAATAGTGGAGTAAAAATAAAATACCAGTCAATTATCACACTATATATTATAAACCAATTATTACAATAACATTATTTTGAATAAAATTACATGAAATTATTTAATGAAAATAATTTAAAATTATAATAAATAATAAATTTTTAATAGAAAAATATTATATATTAGCATTAGTCAATAAGACAAAAAAATAATAATATGTAATTACCTCAAATATCATTTACATTAGTTATAAGATAAATAATTGTATTAAAACAAAAAATAAAGTCAATAAATATATTAAATTCGTTATCGTATGTATTAATTTATAAATTTTTTAAAATCAATTTTTTATTATAAATTAAAAATAATAATAATTTTTTTGCTGAAAAAATAACAATAATGAATTTAAACTATAAAAATACACTTAAACACATTAAATGGATGTCATATAATACATGTGGATATCACATGTATGCATGTGACATGATACATGTGAATGTCACATAGTTATCATGCACTAAAAAGAATGTATCATTTGATATTTATGATTATCGCATTTGAAGCTTCTTATCTGTCATCTAAGAAATTTTAGTGTGATAATACTCTTATAATATTATACACTATCACATCAACATGCCACGTCAATATCTTTGCTGTGTTAAATAACATTGTCAACTGTTAAGTTAATAGATAATAAATTAAAATTACATAATTAAATAAAATTTATGAAAAGAAAAAAAAATAGACGACCAAATTTGTAAAATAATTTATACCATTATATAAAAAATATCCCTTTTATAATTATTTTTAATTTTCATTTTTATATGACCATTTCATCTCTTATTTATTTTCTACAACATCTTAAAACTACCTTTTTCTATGTTAATATTTTTTTTCTTATTTTATTTTGAAATCACTCACAAATAACTACTCAGTTTTTTTTTTTTTTAATTTTATTGTGAAACTATACTCAAATAACTACTCATAAAAATGATTAATTTTTTTTCTTTTGATACAGTGCAAACACCGAGTACTTTTTTTATTAGTAATAATAAAAGATTGTAATTTGAGTTGACTAACCTTAATATCAGAGGTGGCTAAACCAAAGTTGCATCTCAAGGAAAACCAAAACCAACCAGTTTCTCACACCCTTTCTTCCCCTATATTTTCTAGCAAAGAATAGAAC